TATATTGTTTCGAAATTTAACATGGTATCAGAGCCCAGGTTGTGGGTCTCTTCTAAACTGGGTATTTAATCGCTACTAGATAAGGGTTTACCTCGACAGGATGTCCAACCCCTAAGAGGATTATTGATCTGGCCTTTTCCAGTTAGCTCTGAAATTCTAAGGACACTCACAAGTTAGGGGGGGTGTTGAAACCCATTGTATCCCACTTGTGAGTGTCCCACATTGGAGAAAGAGGAGAGATGGTTTCACTTTATAAGGTAGAGGGGTACCTCCTACTATGGCCAATTGGTTTTAGTATGGAAGCTCCAAAGCCTTGTTTGTGGACCAAACTTTCCTTCTCCTTGTTCGGGTAGCCCAGACCCATTTCATATTGTTTCGAAATTTAACAGTAGTTAGTGCACATTGGAGGAACATACAAAATAGTAACTTATGGAATAGCTCAATAGCATATACAGAGTAGTACAATCTAGATGGTACCTAGGGCTAGGAGAACCACTTCAAATGTGGTTAATTACAATACGAGTAGTACTTTAAAGACTAGTAATGATTTAGATCTACTCCGTAACATAAATAGTATCGACAAAATTCTAGGTAAATAAATTTTATTTGGTATTAAATGGGAAACTTATTCTTTTGAAATGAATAAATTGTATTGACAAACTTCTAGGTAAATAAATTTTATTTGGTATTAAATGGGAAACTTATTCTTTTGAAAGGAAGTTTCTAATGGCTAATGCTGCTAGATTATTTTAAGTTAATAATCACAAAACATGTTTGTTCAAAGTAATTTAATAAAAGTTCAAAGGACAAACTAGTTGTGAGAAGGGCATATTCCAAACATATATCCCCCTACACGCCTAAGTTGTTTAATTAAAAATTAGATTTCGGATAATTAGGGAATCTATTTAAGACACCATACTAGATTATCATACAGATCATCATTGGGATGTGTTATTTATTGATAGATGCCATTGGGTTGTAATCAAATCGTATCCTTGTTTTAATGCAAATCAATACTACGGAGTATTATACTAATTTAATTTTTAATTAGGAATCAATGATGAAAGCATGCTAGGTGTACCCTTACATAGTGTTTGTCTCGCTTAATTAATGTTAGTTTTTTCTATGCTTAAGCATTATTTTGAGGTTTTGTAAGGAGCTCAATCATGTTTACCAAATACGGAGTAAGAAAAGGATGTGTCAAGCGTTGGGAGATGAACATTTGGATGAAAATGAGGGAACAAAGAAGGGATCCTCACCCTAAAATACCTATAATTGGAAGGACTCAACTTTGTTACCTCAAATTACAACAAGTCTTGATTTTTTCGTTGACTGGTAATCATATAAATGTTGAATAATAAATAAGTTATCATCATACTTTGTGTTTGCAAATTAAATATGATGGTGGATTGTGTACGTTGAGCATTAAGCCTAATTTTGAAGAACATGAAACTAACTCTAATGAACATACTCGATCTTCAATGAACATAAGAGCATAAATATATAAGATGATGTTATGTTCATTGAAATTAATCTTCCTGTTCTTTGAAATTAGGATTGATGTTCAAGGAGTGTGCATACGCCTTCACCATCCATTTATTGCTATGTATTTTATATAATAATACTTTCTCTTATCCTAATTTTTCTTTATTTTTTATTTGAATTTTGACTTTTAAAAGATCAAATTTCAATAATAATAAAAAAAATAAATAAAAATTTGACTATGCTTTATTGTAATTGAAAAATGAATAATAGGATTTGCATAATCCTACAATATCTTAACGAATTTGAAAAGTGGTTAAAAAAAGAAGTTAGGAATTTGTATTAAGAGAAAATGCCACCAAGTTGAGGAATGTTCAAAAAAAGCTTTATAGAGTAGTAGTATTGAGTATTGACTAAAGATAAGAGGACCTAAAAAAGAGACAAAAGAAAGATTTGATATAGGCGGCATATCACCTAATTGTAGTGGGCAGCACTCATTGCTCGCTACTACTTGAGCCTCCAGGTTACTAATTTTTTAATCAGGTTGATCAACCGTTGACAAATAAAGTCAATTTTATTAAATAATTATAATTTTATGTCAAACTTGGCGGGTTCTACGTCGCAGAAACTACTCGTAGTTGACACCAGAGTACTGGTCTACCCTATTTAAGGGTATTAAGTTTTTTTTTTTTAAAAATATTTAATTTGATTAAGTAAACATTATAGACGACCTGATAGTTACAAAAGACTATGTGACCAGTATGTCTTGGTGGGTGCATGTAGATGTAGCTATGTTAACGTGTGCACAATATCTGGTATTTACGTGCACTTATGCTTGGTGGTGCTCTGTAGCACAGGTGCATATTAGGAGCATATTGTCTATAGATATACGGAGTATAAGTTTTGATAAATTTCATAAGTGATGGTAAAAATAGTCTTTCATTAGTGATTTATTCATAATACCGGTATATATTTATCTCTAAGTTTGTGTTCTCATACGTATAAGTTTTACACATTTTGTTATTAAAAAAATATGTACTCTTAAAAATAATTGAATGATCAGATCATAATGTGAAATATGTATTATTGAGACAAATAAATATCGTTCACAAACATTTATATGTGGCTGGCCATAATTTTTTTTAAAAAAAAAAAAATTCAAAATCACGTTATCTTTCCTCTTTCACTTTCCTCTTTTCAGCTATTCTTCAATTCATCTTCTTCAATTAATCCCCAATTTCTAGATTTTCTCCTTTTTAGGGTTCCATCTTCTCCAATCTCAATCAAATTTCATGAAGGTCGAGGAGAGTGACATCGGAAGCATGGTGGCGGCGGAGAATGTCGGTGATTTTATCGCCGTTGAAGACAACGACATTTTCGAAAATTGAAGCTCAGAATCCATGGCTACAATTAGTACGTTGTGAAGACTAGAATTGGTAGAACCTTCTTTTTTTTTTTTTTTTTTTTTTTTTTTTTTTTTTTTTTTTTGAAAATGTAGAACCTGCTAATACAATTACTTCTCTCGCTCCCTCAGTACCAAATTAAGTGTAGTTCATCATTTGATTTGGTGCTAATAGAAAGATTTGTGATAAATGATTGTAAATTAAAGTTTGTTAAAGCTAGTTATTCACATTATATTAGTTGTTGACTCCATTGTTGAGTTGAGTGTATTTTTTAGTTTCTTTGGACATTGAAGAGTCAGAGATGGTTGATTGTTGTGGTGGTTGGAATTGGTGGTTTTGTGGCTTCTTTAGTGGTGGAATTGGTGGTTTTGTGGCTTCTTTAGTGGTGGAATTGGTGGTTAGGTCAGGAGTTATTTGGTTAGTCAAGGGTTACCAATTCGTTCAGGGGTTACTAGGTCAGAGGTTACTAATTTGGTTTGGGGTTATTTGGTCAGGGGTTACTAGTTCGGTCAGGGGTTACTACGTTGGAGGGGTTACTTGGTTAGGGGTTACTAGGTTAGTCAAGGGTTACTAGGTTGGAGGGGTTACTAGGTTGGTCAGGGGTTACTTGGTTGGTCAGGGGTTACTAGGTTGGAAGGTTACTTGGTCAGGGGTTACTAAGTTCATTAGGGGTTACTTGTGTGTTAGCTGGCCACATGGTATGGCCAACCACACACAAAACTTGCTGAATATCGTTACAGTGACTAACAGTAAAACTTGATAATTGGTTAATTTAAATTAACTATTCCATCTCAAAGGCCTGAGTACCTGACATAACCTAATCCATCCCGAACTAAATGACATGTTGCTACACATACCTCTAAATCCCAATTCAATCAATCTTCCACTCTAAATGTATTCATTGATTCATTCTACCCAATCGTATACGAAATACAACATGCTAGGATGATTTGCATATCATGGACCCATACAAATGGTCCAATGTAAGAATTCAAATTGCATATGATGAGCCATGGAGTATGAATCGGTGTATGTGGTCTGGTTAATTAGGAGTCACCGAATTTGGGTGTTCATTGAATTTGCCAACTGCCAATAATCTTAACACGTAAAAATTCGGTGTTGTATTTTTTCGGGTGAATTTATTGAGTTCCTAAGTGGGATTGTCGTTGCTAGATTTGACATTTGATCCGTTTATTTTTATATATTCGGTACAATTTGTTATTATTTGCTAGTGAGGCGATGCATAGCCTATTAAAAAAAAGCAAGAGACACGACATGGCAATTGGCAAGTGCGCCGTATATTATGAAACAGCTACCAAACGAGATAGTAACTCTTTTTTTTTTTTTACTAGTATTGAAGTATATTATTTATACCAGTAATTTTTTTTTTCAAAAAAAGAGAGTAGTAATTAAATAAAATAAGAGGAAATTTTGATAATTTTTTTGTTTTTTTTTACAAGTACTAATAAGTTAAAGAAGGCCATTTGTTCAGATTTCTATTGAACATCCTTAGATTTAGAAGCCAATAAAGAATTAAAGAGTGAGTTGCCGCTTACTCTATTAGTCTATTAATCAACGAATTAAAGATTAAGCCTTATTTCGTTATGAAATCTGACTTGCTCAGGAGTCAGGCCATAGAAATGAAGTATGAACACATGAATGTTATAGTTACCTAATCTCTCATGATTATTTGTTTGTTTAAGTTGCGCCCATTTAAGTGATTTAACTATACATATTGTTTTGATAATTCTTCGTGAAATATATGGGCCAAAAAAAGTATAATCATGAAAATTTTAGTTAATAAGAAGCATATTAGCATGTACTTTTAAGATATACGGTAAATTTTATACAAAATTTTGATCTCTGACATTAAATTATATTAATAAGTAAAAATATGCATGTTATGCATTAATATAAGAGGACGTGAAAAAAAAACGGATGAAGTATATATTATTGTAAAACTATGATTAATATATACAAAGAAAGAGAATAAATCTAGGTGATTTATAGTGTTACGCTTCTATCTTCATCTTCTAGTTGGCATTTTAAATGTTTTAGGATTCACATAATATAATATTTCCACTCTCATAATCCAATATAAGGAATAAGACATAGTAAGACAACAACACAAACAATTATTTAATTGTAAATACTTATACATATGTCTATGTGTACAACATTGTAATATCTTCTTAACGACTAGATCATTAATTGAACAAAATTACGTTATTTGATTAAGAGTGTTACACTTTTTTAAAGCACATAATTACATGACACAATTCAAAATTAGAAATACTATAGATTTACACCGATGTTTAGCAAACTCTAATCACGTAACTTAGGAGAAGTACGGAATTTTTATTGTTTAATCAAATCAAAGTAATAATGTGTTTGTTGATCTTCGAGGCCTCACTTCCACCGTAAGTGGATTCGCCATTTCACATGATATCTTTAGCTCCTCGGACAAATCGACCTCACCATCTAGTGAGGTCACCCACTCAAACTCGTGCACCAATGACGCCACCCAAAAGCTAACCGTGGTTAACCCTAACATCTTTCCAGGGCAAGACCTCCGGCCCGACCCAAAAGGCGCTAATCGGAGATCCGACCCAAGAACCGAAAAGTCGGCATTGGGCCCAGACACCAAGAACCTATTGGGCTGAAACTCAAGTGGGCTAGCCCACACATCAGAGTCCCTTGCAATGGCCCACATGTTAACAGTAGCCGTGGTCCCCGCAGGCACGTGACATCCATCAACCAAAGTATCCTCAATAGAGAGACGAGACCACGAGAGAAGTGGGCCCGGGGGGTGGAGCCTTAGGACTTCTTTGATCACAGCCGTTAAATAGACCAATGATGAAATATCAGATTCAGTAACCGCACGTGACCTCCCTACGATGTTGTCCAGCTCATCATGGATTTTTGATTGAATATCAGGATGAATCACTAATCTTGCAAGAATCCATTCTATCAATACTGCTATGGAATCGGTTCCTCTAAATATCATTTCCTACACAAACATAGATTTCATACATTATTATACAACAAAAACAACAAACCTCAGATTTAAAATGACTTAGGATCGACTAACATGAATCGATTATAAGTCTGTTCTATAACATGCTCCGTGTTGTATTATTTAGTGACATTATTAGATGAGGTATTCTATATTGTTATCATGACAATTAAGTTTAGAATCTTTCCTTATTTTTTGTATTTTCATATGGTTATACCAAATTTGTCACTGTACTTGACAACTAATGACGCTCTATTTCGTACAAGTATTATAAATTCTCTTAGTATGTTGTTACGTTATATCAACCTTTTATTTTATAATTTTACAAAATATTTAAAACACTAAAGTTATAATAAACATTACACACGTAATTCGTATTAAAATAAAATGACTCACTTATGTTACTATATTTTATTTATAAAACAGTCAAAAGAGTAATATTCCGACAAATATACTTACCCAAAGAACAGCAATCATGTCTGAATCGGAAAGTTTATCTGGATGTTGTAGTGACAACAAAACGTCAACAAAGTCCCGGTTCACATGGGCCGGATCAAGTCGATGTTCTTCGATAATCCGGCCCACGAACCGGTTAACTTTAGGAACAAGTTGTGAGCACCTGAACCGGATATTATGAAAGTCAAAGTCAGAAAGCCAAGAAAGATGATCACCCAAGTTAAAAACTCCTAGTAAATCATAGCCTTCCTCAACCATCTCCTTTAATTCCTCAGTTTTCATATTTCTTTCACCAAATACTGAGCCCATCATATTACCCAAAGAAGCCCACCTTAACATTTCTCTAACTTTAAATGAACCATTTTTGTCCCCTATATTTTGTACCATTTGGGAAACTATGTCACTTCTTTGGGCCTCATAGGCTTTAATTTGTTTTGGGCTAAACATATGGGTCCCAGAAATTCGGCGGAGAGTCCGCCAGTAGGATCCATATGGGGCAAACCCAATTGACCGGTTAAACATTAAGCCGTAAGCAGATTCTTGATCAGGCCGGTCTACAAAGACCGGACTGTTCAAGATCTCCTTGGCTACATCGGCGTTACATGTTACAATCATACGAGTGTCACCAAGGCTAAAAGCCATGACCCTCTTAGAATTGTAATGTTTTGCCATTGCGGCAATCTTATGATGGGCTAGGCCCATCTTAAGGCCTACACTACCAAAGATGGGCCAGCCACGTGGACCTGGTATGGGCTTTTTGGCCCAATGAGAGAAGTGGGTCCAAGAGTATTTTCCCCAAGCAGGACCGCCTTGATGAGCCCAATAAATCAGGCTCATGGCTAGCCATATTAAGGCTAAGAGTAATATGGAGGTAACAATGTTAATGATGGTTAGATGGTTGCACTTTGAGGCTAAGGCAAAGAGCCATAAGGAGTCTACTTGTGAGCTCATATTTTTAGAGAGAGAAAGTGTGTAGAAGTTTATGTGAGAGAATAAAACAAAAAGTGGTAGTTTGTTTGTGTTGGGGGATAGAATGAATGAAGTGAGGAGTCCTTATATAGGGGAGCTGATCACTTTGTATAGAATAGGAATCAAATGAAAGTGATTGTTTAGAAAAAGATATTTGGTCAACTTCTTTATTTGATATGAGGATGTTGCCCAAGTATTCTATGTTAATCTGTAAGTAAGTATTAGGAGATTTACCGGAAAATTCAAGCTTAGGGTTCGCCAAGAAAGAGTCAAGAAAAGCATCTTTTTTCTCTTCTACCAAACTTTTTTTCTCTAAACAATATGACCTAATAAGTATATGTTAAAGAGGGCACGTGGTATGTTAAGTTGTTAAGAAATTTCAAGTTTTCAACCAAGTGTTGGCGTAACGGTATGAAAAGGACTTTTCAATCGTAGAGTTAGTTAGGGTACAATTTTCGCTATGGGCATTTTAGATGAGAATCACCTTCCTCGTTCCCCACTCTCAAAGTGTCTATCCAGTTAACGTAAACCGAGTTAACCTGTGGAAAGTTTTAGATAGAAGGACAATCACCCTTTTATCTATAAAAAATATTTAGAAATTTAAATGTAAATTACACTATACCACTAAAAACTGTTGATGACTCAAATAAATCTGCAATAGATATGTTTTTTTTTCCTACTTATGTGGCTTACATTACATTAATATAAAACAACTAAATTTGTGTAGTTTATAGAGTGATAAATGATTTGATTATGACATTTTATTTATATTATTAACTTGCAACCAACAAACTTATAGTTTATAAAAATCGATAATGTCATTATTTAAAATTAATTACAAAAGTATATATTAATAGATTTGAAATAATAATTTGAACCGGTTATTAAAAAAAGAACATCATTAATCTTGTTGAATTAGCTTATCCGTTCATTATCATACATCGTGTCTATTATTGTTGAAAGAACAACAAATTTAATATATATGAGAACAAACTCTAGAATAATTATATTCATTTAACACCTTAATCACCATAATAAAAATGATAGGTCCCAAGAATTGTTAATGAGTAAGATAATAAATCACTATTCATTAAAATAATAAATTAATAAAATGATTGATTTATATACACTATCATGCCCCTCACAATGAGAATTCGTTATGATTGAAATGTGGATACAGTATAAACCTTTATGTAATGTGATTTGAACTCGGATCTTCTTTATCACGCCGACTTAAACGGATTGTTAAAGTCTAATACAAGTATGTTTTTTCAATCAATTATTGCTCCCAAATTTGGTTAGAGAGTTGTACGAATGCAATGTTTTGAAATTTTAGGACAGTGATTCAAGTATTAAGAAAGAAAATCAATGTCAATTTGAATATTGACCCATAGTTTTAGGTTGCTTGGGAAGACCAAGTCAATAGTACTAGATAGAACAATTTTGTTGTTAGTAACTAATTAAAAAAACAAAATAGTACGAGTACTATTCAATATTGATATTGAGTAGAAAAATTAGTGTAAGCAACCATGTAAATACATCATGGAAAGCCTCATATGATGATTCTAGTATTATGGCAAGTCTAACACTCTTTCATTTGATAAATTCAGTCAAAATTATGTTCAGACGGCTGAATAGGAATTTAACTAACCAAGACAAAGATTTAAAGTGTTTTTAATTGATAACTGTTAAACGTGGACACGGCATTACCCAAATAAACCTCTCTTTCTTAGATTTACTTACCTTCATAAACCAGACAATCTTTCATAACCTATTCATTTATCTGACGTCAATTCTTTGCCAATGAAACAAAAACCCAAGATTTTTGTTAAATATCTGACGTAAAAGCCGCACCAAACTTTCCGAACGCATTCCGGCGTTTAAAATGGATTTATAGTAACGGATACAAAAAAATCAACGAAAATTAATAAAGTAAGGATTTTTATTGTGAAATGCAATGTACTCGTAACTACAGTCACAAAATAACAAAAATGTGTGAGATAAATTTCTATTGATCTTGAAGAAATATATATTACTTGTATGTCTTTATTGATCATACAAGGTAGAACAAAATAACAACTTTGATCTCGTAAAAAAAATAACAACTTTGATATACATTAGTAAAAGATTTATGGTCTGTTTTCTTCAGCTTAATTTCAGTTCAGTTCAGTTCAGCTTTCATCAGTTCAGTTCAGTTCTGTTCAGTTCAACTCCTTATTTTCTTCTCTCATAATTTCACAAACAATTAATTTCAGCTTTATTAAGTTCAATTTAGTTCAGCTCCAATCAGTTTAGTTCAATTCATTAAATCAGAACATGCCCTTATATCAAATAAATACATGACAATTGAATAAAATAAAAACATTCTTTCAACAAAGCTATGATTGTTATTGCAAATTGTACATTCTTTATATTCTCTTTCACATCGACCGCTGCGATTTACGACATACTTCGATAAGGGAGTCTATCGATCTATTGTAGCCGTGAAGAAATTTTTGCCTAATTCGTTTGGTTGTAATCGTAAGATTAACTTTTTTTTCAATATCGCACAAACCTTTCTATGAAATAATTCTATAGCAATCCATCAAACAAAAAAAAAAATTAATTCCTAAAGCAATTTCAACTAAAATCCGAAGCCCAGTGGAATGACATATTATTATTTCAATACATCTTCTAAATAACAAGATAAACCGCCACCATTTAATCTTTCTCGTGAAATAAATAATGGCATGTCGTTGTACATTGTGCTGTGATTAATTATGAACAATGAAAGAATTGAACTGATTTTAAAATGTTGAAGTTTTGAATCGTCAAAATCAATTCAAGCCAGACTTTAAAAGTTCATTTAACTACAACAATTATATTTGGCATCCTTTTCAAAAAAAAAAAAAAAAAACACATATTAGAGCATCACCAATGGTTCAATTATAAGGACTTGCGGCGGACCTGCCTTTGTACCTGGTGGGTCAAATGACTCACCAGGGCCCAAAAAAAAAAAATCCTAGGTGCTAGATCATCATCTACCTCCAAATTGTTACTACTACAACGAATTGTACCCTGAAATTATGCTAAAATTAATTTAATCATATAATTTGGAGTAAAATTGAATGAAAATGTGAGAAATTGGGAATCATACAGGAAGTAGTAGAAATGGCGGGAGAAGAGAGAGAAGGGAGTGTTGAAAGGAGTTAAGGAGGGAGAGTGACACCATTATTGAGGAGGAGAGAGAAAGTGAAAGAGATGGAATTTTGGAGCCAAAAAAAATGGTGAAAAACCAAAGAATGAAGGAGTATTATGAGGTGGGATGTGTTTTGCTGATATCTGTGGAGACTGGAAAGCGGAAGTGGGGTTTTTTAATTGGATATCAATATATCATCTCTTATCCTAATCAGTCTATTCATCTGATTTCAGAAACTCTGTAGTTAGAGTTCGGCATGGTCCTATTGTGCCAAAAAAAAATCTAAGTTTTTTGTTCATTTTCCATTGCACTGAAACTGGTTGATGATTTGCTTTAGAGAAAGAGGGTACAAGAACAGAGGATATATGATTTTCTGGGTTTTTGGATGTATTTTTTAGTACTATTATTTGGTTGTTTGATAAAATTTTTTTTTTACATATTTGGTTATCAATTGTGACTCACCAGTCGAAAATTCCTGGGTCCGCCACTGCTTGCTTGCAATTTAAATAAAGTTTCTAGCTACATGCTTACCATTGGAGAACAAAAAATTGAGCAACATGCAAGCAACTGTAGCCCAACCAAGCTACATGCTTGATTGAAAAAAAAGACAAATAATCTCCACTCATATTGTTACGTGTGTATAATTATCCATTATTTTTTAAAATTTTGTTTTTTTTGCAAACTACAATATGTTGTGGTTTACCATTGGAACAATTTGTATCTTAAAAAGTGTTGTAACTTAGAAATTGATGTGGAAAAGCAAGCTACAAAGCATTGTATCTTACCATTGGAGATGCTCTTATACTATCATTCATGTAAAATCACCTAACTTTACTTTCCTCGTAGTCCCCTTAATTCTTCCCAATAGTTCTTCCTTTCAATCAAATAAATTACAATATGGAGTAATATATACTTTCAAAATCGATCAAAAAATTTGGTTAAACCTTGATTAATATGTACTCCGTACTAGTAGTTTTGATACTTTTTCTATAACTTGCAATCCAGTTAATTTAATGAACGTCGGTACAATCAATAACTACTACATACGTACATACCGGATCTTTAATTGAGTTGTAGAATTCAATTCTAATCATCAAACAACTTTCCAACTAATCATATAATAGTACAACTTAATTTTCCTTCATACAAAAAATAAATCGATGAGACTGACTTGTTGGTTGTGATAATACAACTTATTATAATCTAGCATTGTCATTATGATGACACATTATATTGCCATAATTAAGAAACAATATTTATCATTTAAGCTCTGTTTGGATTTTACAAGTCCAACATCATATCCATACATACCCTGTGGCAAATACTTAGCTAGAAAAAGACAAGGTTAAATCTTGTATAAGACGAGATTATCCATACTCTGCAATAATTTATTGTCGAATAAATGAAGTTTTGATTTCTTCTCCTTCTAAACGTTTTATAATAATTAAACTAATATAAAGCTGTCTCATCTAAAATTGATAATAAATATAATTTTCCAATAATTGATTTACATAGCATATATAGCATAAAGACAACAAATTTTCTCCAATTAGGTGGAAGTTTAAATTAATTTTCCTACTCCATTCCTTTTTAATTTTACTTCTATCTTCAACTTCTTAGTTTCCTTGTCATATTTGAAGTTCCCTGAAAGATACTCACCAAGAGTTAAATAATGTATAGTGTTTTTATTGAATTCTAAGTTTCCAAAACCTCTTATAATCAATAAAGTCATCTTTCTCAATTATGCAATACTTCTATATGTACAAGAGAAATAATGCAAGGTTTGATTGATACAAGTATAAAATATTTTCGCCAAAAAAATAATGATGGGATAATCTTTAATGGTCAATTGTAACTTCTGTTAAGTGATGATGTGGAGGACATTTTAAATAAAGCAA